CCGGGGGGGGGTTTAGCCGCTTTGCTGTGGATAAAGACAGTGCTGTGCTTGCTCTGGGGTCACTGGTGTCCTGCTGGCTGCCCCCAACATGCTGCTGCTGCTCCAGGTGGCCCCCGTGCATGGGGGCTTGCTGCTGGGGGGTCCCCTGTCCCTAGATTTGTATGGAGGGTTAAAGGGTTAAACCTGCCAGCCCGTGGTTATGGACTGAAAAGGAGGGGGGACCTGTTGGGGGGAGCTGCTGACCCGGCATTCAGCCGCCTGGAGGCAATGGCACCACCACCCCCATTCCTGCAGTGAGACCCCGGAGCCAGAGCACCCATCGCCTTACACCCAGGGGTGCCCAGGCTGGGGAAGGCGGCTGCACATCATCGCTCCCCATTGCCGTCAGGAGAGACGGTTTTGCACCAAGCCCATTGGAGTAATACCTCCATTATCAAAAGCGCTGCAATTACACCCAGCGAGGAGCTGTCAGGTTTATTAATGCCGGGCTCAGCGCCCCGCCGTGCTGTGATTCATCCCGAATAAAACACACAAACAAGCAGACGGGTCGCTACCTCCCCATGCCCGCAGAGCCGAGTGCTGCGCTGCCTACCTGCAGGACAGCCGGAGAAAATAAAACGACCCTTCTTCTTCTGCACACATCAGCTATTCAGGTCTCTGCTCTCCCGGAGGTGTGTTTGCAGGGTCTGGAGCTGGGGTGAAGCCTCGATGATGGGAGCTGGGGGCAGCGGGAGCGTTACATGGGTTGTTGTGGCTGGATGCAGTGCCCGGCACAGGACAGGGACGTCTTGGGGTTGTGGGCTTGGCTGCAGAGCCCTTGCCATGGGCTGACTCCCTCCAGAGATAAATCCCCGCTTCTTCCAGGAGGTGAAATTAAATGAATGGAAAATAAAAGCTCTTTAGAAACAGTTGAAATACGTCTATGGGAAAATGGCGGGATCATCTTGGCTACAGACCACGGGAGCCGGTCACTGCTGCCGAGCCAGGACAAGGGGATCCTAGCCAAATCCTGTCCCGGGGGGGGGATGGGGGCCAGTTTTTCCTGTGTGCCCTGGCAGCAGCCTGGCCCCCGCTGGCATGGCAGAGCCCAGCAAAGCCCCTGTGCCAGTCCCCCTGGCCAGCACAGCGGGGACTTGGGTGATGCAGGGAGGGCACAGGAAGGGTTATGGGAGGCCAAGCAAGCCCCAATCCACCTGGATCTCCTTGATGCATCCCAGGCAGCTCCCAGGGGCACTGCAGGATGAATTAAATGCAATTTAATGAGCATACCCTTCCCTAAAACCATCCCAGAGGGATGCTCTGGCTGCCGACAGTTATCTTCCTGCATCGCTCCTGCTCTCTGGGATGGCAAGCATCCCCTCTTTTGTCAAGGGCTTGCTTGGCAAGCACTTTGCTTGGCTGGGAGCGGGAATGAAAGGAGACGAGGGGAGCGAGGAGGAGGAGGAATCAGGGGGCTGTTTTGTTTGGTGATGACCTTGTTATCTCCCGCAGCAGGCAGCTGCTCCTCTGGGCTGCAGGCTCACGCTTATCTGCCCCACCACAGATTGAGTGACTTCTCTTATCTGCTGTGTAGTTGAATATTAATTTACAATTGTTATTTTTCTATTATTATTTTTGTGGGTTTGGGGCTGGAAAAGCTCTGGGCTCCGTCTCACCCAGTGATTGCTCTTCCCAGCCTCCTCTCTCGGGTGCAGCGCAGTGCTGACACTGAACAGGTCCAACCCTCCACCCCGCATGTGAGTGGAGCATCCATGCATGGGCTCCTACCCCAAATGTACTAAAAACCATGCTAATAAATAAACCTCTCTGTAAAACCTCTGATTGGAGCTTAAAGTCTTTCTCAGCCGTGCAGCTGAGAACTAACAGCCCACCACCTCCCCGTGTCTGCCCCACTGCTGCCGTCTTACATTGCTCCCAGCAAGGAGAAAAAGAGGAGAAAAAAAGATCAGTTGCTTCTCCTCATTATTTTGTTAATGTGCAAAATCATTTTTTAATTGATTCTATATGCAGGCAATTTCCAATCTTGGAGGCAACAGGAGCACAGGGATTTTGTGCTCCTCAGTTTGTTGGCTGTGGACCAAGAATTTTCTGCATGAGAAAACGGTTAAAAAAAAAAAAGACTATAACCCAAACTATGAACCATTTAAAATAGCATGATGACATCTGGCTCCACAGGGTCCTGAGAGGACACAGTGAGCAGAGCGATCACAACGATTTTGCGCTGCGCTGTGAGGTGCAGCCCCAGGCGCCTGCCAAGAACAAATTTTGGGTGATTTTGTGAGCCCAGCGGTTCCGGGCTGAGCGTCCCCTACCCTCCCGCGGGCACAGGGGGCAAGAGGCCGACGGCAGCGCCCTGGTCTGTGAGGTCTGGGCCAAGGATGCGACAGAGGCTGTTTGTCCGGGTGCCGGAGCCACAAAACGCTTCAGACGGCTCCCTTCGCTCCCCTGCGGCCCCAGTTCATGAGGGGACACGCCGGCGGAAGCTCGGTTAGCCGGGCCACACACGGGTGCCAGCGGCAGAGCAGGCACCCG